CCCCAAAACCCCAAAACCCCAAAACCCCTATTTAACACTTCTAAATTGCTAATTACTATCAATTTGTCATAAATAATGGAAAATTGTCAGCATCCTCAGAATGAGAAATTTAGTCCAATAACTGGCTATGATTTCCAGTTTTTGCAACAAATTAGAGCCGAATGAGAGACTCTCAACCCTATTGTGATCTTCTTGCTGGGAGTCAACTACATTAGGCATCAAAGAGAGTACCCGAAGGAGAACTTCATTGAACTTGCAAAGAGAGTCAAAGATGGAGTTGATATTGAGAATCTGAATGCTTTTGACCAAAATGAGATATACAAAGAACTATATAGCCAGACTACTCTCGACCAAGTATTTAGACTTAGATGGTTTCAGAGTGAGTATCGAGAGTTTCAAAGCGAATTAGAAACGAAGGTTAAGTCAGATCATCCTTCTTTTCAAAAGAAGGATGATTACTCAATAATTGATTTTTTGAAGACTCCGAGATTTCCCGCTCAGGATAAAAATACTCCTCAACAGAATTCATGAGCCCAAAACCCACTATCAAAAGCTAGTTATCCTTCTCATGCCAGGGGTAAGTCACCATTTTTAATTTTGTTATAAATGTCACTACAAACTCTTGAGGAAGAAACTAGCATCGTTTATTTGGGTCCTGGATTAGCCCCTTCATCACCAAGAAAGATTTCTCAATAATCACATTGTCTAAAGAAGTTTGTCTGAGGCTTTAGCTCTAAGTTGATGTGTATTGTAGTCATAAACTTAAAAGTGGTTTAATTTAGGACCCACAAGATGTATCATAAATTTATTATAGCTCAAGATGAAGTAGACTCAAACTCATCGTCATCATTAATTGATTTTGGCAATAATTCAAAGGTAATTCATCATCTACTAGCTCATCACAACAGGGGCAATCCACTTGAAGTCTAAATTTGTCATAAACCCTTTATTTTTGTATGTTAGCGAATTGGCATGTTTAATAAATTAGGTTTCTCTTTGGATCTCTTATCTCTTAATTTTCTGTTATTTCTTGCTGTCTTATAAATCTCAATCATTCCTCCACCTGTTTATCATCCAGAACGTTACTGACTTCTCTTCTGTCTGTGCCATAGCCTTGGCAATGCCCAAGTTCCAAGGAAGTAATGTCTGCACTGATCTCAAGCGTTCTAGACAAGTTTCATTGTGAAAATATTCCATTTTCTCTCTTTTTGATCTTGAAGTCATTCTGCTTCAAAATTAAGTTTTCTCCTAATAAAGCTAAAGACAGTCTCCGAGGCAGTATTAAGCCTAGAAAGAGATGCCAGTGATCACTGTTTTAAACTACAGGTTATAGTTGCTGATCATCCACCTGGGTTTGGCCTCAAGCTTTGCTAGCTTTCATAGACTTTTGGGAGCTGTTTTGGGCAATATCTGAAATTGGAAAGATTTATGGGAATTCATTAAGTTTTGTGTAGTGCTTCCTATGAATTTGTGAGTTAAGAGATGACAACCAGAGGATTAAAAGTTGCCGCATTAATTATTGTCGGCTCTCAGGTTGTCTCAAATACTTTCATTAGCTGGTACTCATCATTAAAACTTGTTGAAAGATTAGTAATGTTTGGACAGAGGAGTGTGAAAAATAAGCCTGTCATCTATACAATGTTTACTTTGAGTATTTTAGTTAATTACTATTCACTTTGCAATTATTCCTCCCACTCTTGCTTTGAGTTATGGAATCAGATTACCTCACAATTACAAATAGAAACAAGAAGACAAAAATTCAAGCGAAGATGATCAAGGTAACTCTAACCAAACATTTTCAGTTTAAAATCAAATTTATTTGCAAACATTGCTAACCATTCGAAATAAATTTAATACTAAGAAGACTCGACTCATAACTTTCCAAATTAGAAGAAGACAAATATGATAGGGATAACCCCAGAGTTTATCAGAGATCATTTCAAGAATCCACACGCCACAAGAGAATGAGGACTAGAGAGGAACATCAAGCTCAAAATGAGCATCAGCCCTGGAACAGAGTATTCTCCCGAAGACTCTTAAGTCCAGACAGTCTTCATGAAGACCAAGATGATTCTCAAGGTACTCCTGATGGGTACTGTTTCCGTGTTCCTTCAGACGAAGAAAATCAAAGCTCGGAAGAATCTGACCAGCCACAGGTCTCTCTACTCAGGCGGATCGGGAGACATCAAAGGTTTGAAGAACAAGACGAGCTAAATGAGGAAGAACTTGATGTACATAAAAGAAGTAACTCTGAAGAACTTGCCCCTCTCCATAAGATAATTACACAACCTTCCAATCTCCCTAAAGGGATTCATGATATAAGACATATCCCAGATGCTAATGCTCAGGCCCAGCTTCTCAACGAGCATAACCAAGAACTCTCAGATCCTGATGAAACAGAAATTATTGAAAAAACATTCAGAGAACAAGAATTTGCAAAGAAGCAACAAGATGCATTAGAGAGAGTTCAAAGAAAATTAGAGCAAGAGCGAAAAGACAAAGAAGTGGCAGATCAGCTCCAGAATGAGGAAAGAATGAAAGCTCAGCAGCAAATAGCTAGTTCAATCTGAGAACTATGCAATCGTGCATTTGGTGATTCTGAAGTTGTGCAGCTTTCTTGAGAAGACATCTTTCACCCTTCTTGATTTCAAAATTATGTTGAATATAAAGTAAAGGTGAAAAAATTCCCAATCACTTGTCCAGGCGACAAATGAAGAGAAAAGGTAACATACTCAGAACTCAAAGCACTATTAAACACAGGGTTGTACAATGAAATTGAAAAATATAGGATGCGAGAATACTTACCAAAGTCGGAATATAATTATGAGGATCCAACTACTACCCAACAATCCAACAACAGAAACAAAAGAGACTCTAAATATAAAGGAAAACATAATCAATCGAAGAAAAAGAAAGATAAAAAAAAGAAAAAGTTTCTCGGAATTTTCTAAATCAAGACAAACCCTTCAATGAACATTCTTTGGAGTTCTTGCTCAATAAGATACAATGAAGCCAAGTCTGTATCTAGCAAAGATTCCAGAAAGTGTTCAAACGAGGCGTAAGAGTAAGCATTACTATTGGATATAAGTTGCATAGCGAGATTCTCGGCTTGTGCGAGTGGATTTAGAAAATAATGCTCTAAACAAGCTTCTAAATCAAATGAGCCCCAATTAGACTCATTATCGCCTAAAATCTCCAAAATTTGCAATTTAATCTTCATACCTCAAATTAGTAATATATACTCTAAAACATCCTCTAAAATATCTCAATCGAATTCCCTCATCCCGGGGTTTTGGGGTTTTGGGGTTTTGGGG